ATATCATTAACCCCCTCTATAAGAACCTAACCTACAACATTTGCCTGCAACTCACAATTTTGTGAGCAATATTGGATACATATATTCATTTAAGTAAGGACTACTTTGTTGTCCAAAAATATCATTATCCCAATAGGTAGAATTGATAAAACTTTCTTACCTACTCCACCCAAGTGAGACACCTTTTCAAACCAAAACACCAACAGAAAAAGACCTACTGGGATTTTACTAGTCATGTGGCATCCTAAAAGTGACATTTTGCTATCCGTTTGCCCTGGTCACCATGAATGTTCAATAGTAAATATATCCTTCAAGGATAAATTTTGCTTCAAAGTCCAGGAAAAATCTAGAACATGCTTCTGGTCATATGAGAACACATGATAATAATTCGCTGCCAATAATATAATTATCTTTTAAGATAGTTATAAGCTACAAAAGCTCTAACAGGGTAGAAAATGAATGTTAACCTTCTGAGTGATCCATTAAGATCACTTATTAGCTGTTTGTCACTCCCACATGGGAAGAAACCAAATGTTCTTTCAATTTCCAACTCAACCTACTTCTTAAGAGGTCCAATTTAGTTTTCATGGATGTAGTGTTGTTGATAGAATTTCCTCCCTCTTCTCAAGTTGATGCCAAGATAAACTTCCATTCCAAATTACGATAACTCCAAATTGTTAACTGCAACTGCACTATTTAGCCTTCAAAGAAACTGACTAGAAGGAGCTAGACCAAGCTGGTAAAAAGAATAGCAAAACTTCTGGAAACCCTCAGTAATTGGTCCATAAAGATTACATCATTAGATACCCAAGGGTAATGAAGCCATTACCAAATACAGAAGAGTGTTCTAACCATCTAACTTTCCGATAAAACAAAAGCAATCTGAGACAGCCCTCCCCTTGAAGTATTCCTGAAGTGCTCCTCCAACACAGGGTAGAAGACAGGTTTATTCCTTGAAGTAAACTCCTATTCTTCCTCCACTTCAGCCGCAGTCAAAGAAACAAGAGCTGGCATGCATTTAGTCTTAAAAAATAAACAAAAACCAAGAACCTAATTTTCCCAAATTAACCTCCTATAACAAGCCCAATCGTTTACTTTCAAACAAAACAAAATTTAGGAAAATCACCACACACCCACCACTAATAGCCTTCTAAATTCGCAGACAAAACCAACCAGCCAAAACCACAGCTATTCAGCAAATTAAACATCAAAGAATCCCCCCCCCCCCCCCCAAAAAAAAAAAAGAGGGAACAAAATAACCATTGAAGCCAAGTCAAAAGAGAGTAAAACACAGGAGACTTACCCACACCGATCACAGAGCTCCGCACGCTCTCCGCTGCGTAGTTGCCAGCCTTTCTTTGGCCGCTCCGATTTGAACTCCGCACACTCCGAATTGAAGCATATCTTTGACGACGAAGACGAAGACGACATCGAGATAAGAGTAAGAAACAAAAACCAAAAACCCAACGCCAAAGATAACCCTCACATAAACCCTAGAACCTCCTCTCACTAAGAAACAAGCTGCTAAGAGAAAAACTAGAAGGAAGACGTAGAAAGCTCGAAACCGTTGGTTATTGCCTGATCTACAATCAGGAAGAGACTGAGGTTAGAGAGAGACCGGAGCAGTTTTTTGAAGTGAGAGAAAGTAGAATGTGTTGTATATGTGTAACATTAATATATATATATATATGCATACCCATACACGACATATAGATATTGCCGTGCGTGTATATAAATGAGGCTTTAAAAGCACGTCGTTTATTATTTAGGGCGTCGTCGTTTTCCTCCTCTCTTTTTTTTTTTAATTTCTTTTTTATTTTTCGAACTCTTCTGTCCTTCTTGGCAAATTGAATCATCACCTTTTATTAAACAAATAATTTTAAATTCTAGATTAATAATATTACTTACTATTTTATTTATTTATCTCAATATATTTAAATTGGTAACTTTCTCTATAATTAATAATTTATAATTTTTATATATATATATATATATATTTCTTTTTTTACATTTGTCCCGAGTCAAGGCAGACATTATAAATATCTATTTATTCCATTAAGTAAGTCAGCAAGGGCAGTTGAGTAACTTTATTAGAAACTTGACTTGGACAAGACTTGTGTTATTTTTACAAAAATACCCCACGTGGAAAAAAAGAGAAATATATATATATATTTATATTTGGCGAGTGTACACGATTTGCGTACTTGCGAGAGTATGGGAACTCAATCTGAACAATTATGCATGGCCCGCCGCGAGTATCATGCAAACACGTAACGCACACTTTGGGGCGTTTTATTTTATATATGGCACGCGCCTTTTTTGGCAATTGTATTCAATCGACTTGAGGGAAAAAAAAAAAAAAAAAACAGCTGTGCTTTTTCCCAACTTCCTATTCTTTTCGGGAAAATTATAAAAACTGCTTTAAATAATTTTAAAATTAAGTCAAAATTATTTTAGGTTTGACTCAATTTTATTTTTATTACATATATTGTATAGTATAATTTTTATAATTATATTAAAATAATCGTATTTTTAATTTTATTTTTAAATAAATAATTATTGTATATTACCATATTTAGCTTATTTTAGTATATTTATTTTTGTATTTAAAAGATTTAGATGGGAAATTATTAATATATATTACCATATTAAATATAAAATAATTTTAAAAGAAATAAAGAATATTGGACATTTGTCAGAAATTTACTTTTATATATATAGATTCCCAACTTTGGATATTTTTTTAAATTGATTATTCACTTTTCATTTTATTTATAATATAAAGTTATACTATTAATATATTCTATTAAATATTAATAAAAATTGTTACATGATTCTCACGTTATGAATTCTATAGTTAGTCAAAGAAAAATAAAAATTAATAAATTTCTTATCAACTTATGCAAGCATAATTTTTATAAATAACAGGGATGAAACTCTAGGTTAAGACGCACGTATATATATATATATATATATATATATATATACATTCATGTATTTATTATATTATCTAAGTTACAAAAAATATTTTAATTTAATATATATCAATCATTTTGATATCTGTGTGCATGGATGAAAGAATTTGAAATAATATATAATTTTAAATTTAGTTATTGAACCTAAATATATGATTCTTTTATTTTTTTTCTTATTTTTTATTTTTAAATTTTAATATATATATATATATATAAATTACATTTAGTAAAATTAAAAATTTAGTTTATTAACATGTTAATAGAATCTGAATGATTAAATTAAATTAAATTTTAATAAATTTATTAAATTTACGGATAAAAATAATATTTTATAACAACTAAATTTTTTTATTTAAATTGTTATAATAGATTAAAAATTTAATTTAATATTTTTAATTATCAAAAGCAAATACACCCAAATTTATTGGTGAAATATTCATAATGTAAAAGTTAAAACTACTTTTTATATTATTTATATTTTTTAAATTTTTTTAAAAAAATTAAATTAGATTTAAATGATATAAAATATTTTTTTATTTAAAAATATAATTTAATCTAATCACTGCATAATATCATAGGTGCTAGTTTTATATATATTAGAACACTGTAAGTAAATAGTTTTGTTTTTATTATTATTATTTAAATAATTATAAGGACGAAAGGAAACATGTCATACACTGGAGCTTGAGCTGAACTTAGCAGAATTGCAATGGAGTCTGCTCTTTCATTAACTCTGTCTCTTCAAGTATGGAAGGCAGCCAGTACTCGTTCCCGTTGTAAAAGAAATGAAATGATACTATGATATGATCTGAATCTCTTTTTTTATATTTTATAATTCGATTTAGTCGATCATAGTATTTTTATCAATATTATTTTATAGAATTTACGATAGTTTAATTTTTAAAAGAATCACGATTCTTTTAGTTTTATGAAAAATATTATAATTGTAACGGCCCAGGAAATATTAAAATGAAATGAGTATTTAAATATATCAAATGCGGAAGCGAGATCAAAATTTCAGTTAACATCCCTTACACGAAAAACCAAAAACGTACTTAAAATATAAAAGATTAAACTAACTAAGAGAGAAACTCGAAAATAAAACTATGAGTATGACTACAGAGTCTCTAGGCATCCCCTTCGTCGTCCTCCTGCGGAACGGGCTCGGGAACCATGTCTTCCTGATCTGAAATGGTTAAATAAGAAGTGAGCTACACTAGCCCAGTAAGAACATCACGATATCTC